GGTCAACCTCAATGGTGGAGGAGTTCTTTCAATCCTATTCCTGATGAACTCTTTTTTATTCCTTCTGAATGTATGATTCATCGGTAAAAATTGTCTGTGACAGTCAAAATAACTAGGCTTCTTACCATGTCTTAATCTGAATGACTTCGATCTCTCCAAACATATCAGATATCCTAAGATCCCAGCTGTACTCCATCTAAATAACATTCCATAAGCTGGAAAGTCATTTATCGTCCAAAGAAGAGCAGCCTTCATTACAAATGTTTGATTAGTAGAAACATCATACGTAACGACACATTCATTCCATAGCCGTTGTAACTCTTCAATCAATGGTTGCATATAAACATCTATCAACTTTTTCGGATTTTGCGGGCCAGTCACGATCAATGTCAAAAACATATAAGGTGTCTTCATGCACATACCGGGTGGAAGATTGTACGAAGTTAAGATAACTGGCCAACATGAATAACTTTTCCCTGATTTTCCAAATGGGGCAAATCCATCAGCACAGAGACCTAACCTGATGTTTCGAGGCTCTATCGCAAACTCAAGGTATGTTCTATCAAAATGTTTCCATGCCTCTGTATCTGAAGGATGACACATTAGACCCTCTTCTGTTTCATGATTTGCATGCCAAGTCATGTGTTGAGCAGTGGCTTGAGACGCATAAAGCCTTTGCAATTTGGGGATTAAAGGCAGATAAAACATTTGCTTGCATGGTCTACGCTTCTGATTACGACCCTGCCTCCTGTTAATCTTGTACCTAGGTTGGCTACAGAATTTGCAAGATTCTGCATTTTCATCATCTCTCTAATGTAACATACAACCCCTACTACATACATCAATCCTTTCAACTGGACGACCTAAGTTATCCACTAACTTCTTCATATCGTAAAAATCACTTGGCATGATGTTATCATGAGGCATTGTTTCTTGCATTACTTCAACAAAAGAGTTAAACCAATTCTCAGACACATTATGCTCTGCCTTGATATTTAACAATCTTGCTGTCACTGATAACTGAGTATGGTTGTCACAACCTGCCCATAAAGGTTCATCTGCTGCTTTCAATATTTCCCAGAACTGATTAGATGGAAACGTTTCATTACACACATTCTCATCAAAACCTGTTACTCCTATCTCTTCCAATTGTTCAAGTGTAGGAGTAAAATTAGTACTTGCATGATTCGAATCTGAAACAACATTCTGACTAGCTGCATCAATCACCATCCTCTGGTATGGGTTCAATTGGTCATAATAGCTACATTCTTCCCTAACTGAAAATTGATCACTTATTCGATATCCTTCATCAGATATAAATAGTTCACCATGGCAAGTCCAATTATAGTAGCTCGGAGTAAACCCAAATCTACAAAGATGTTCTCTAACTTTATCACACACATGAAATTTACCATTACTGCACTTGTTACACGGATATCGTAACTTATTTTCATCCATCAACTCATATTTACTATTAGCAAAGTCCAAAAATAGTTCCAACCCAGTACGAAACTCATCGGTCAATTCTCGACGTCCAGGTAAGTTCTTATTATACATCCAAGCCCTGTCTCTTTGCATTGTGTCTATATAAAAATAACAAAATCTCGTAAAATATTAAAACCATAAAATTTTCTTAATTAAAACCATAAAATTCTAAAAATTAAAATTTTGTTTTTGACGAAACAATTACTTTGAAATTGAAAAAAATAAAACAATTACTATGTCAAGAAGACTTACCCAAGTATTTGACTGAAATCTTTGTAGTAGAAAGTGCTCAATTTGATGAGAATTGCAACGTTCACTTTATCTGTGAGACTTTCAAATGGACACGTACCTACAAAAAAAAAATGACTTCAGATTTTTTTTTTTAAAATAATTTTTTTTGAAATTTTTTTTTTCGAATTTTTTTTTCCTAGATATTTTTCGCCGGTCCGGCGACCGACTGAGGCCGGCGAGTTGGACCTCGCCGACCATGGGCGAGGTCGAACGGCGGCCTCGCCATGGCCGCAGTTGGACCTCGCGGCGAGGTCCAGCGGCGGCCATGGCCGCTCGACCTCGGCGCCCAGATCTGGGCGCCGTTGGACTCGCCCAGATCTGGGCGAGGTCGAACGGCCATGGCCGCAGCTCGACCTCGCCGCGATGGCAAGGTCCAACGGCGCCCATGGCGAGGCCGCCGCTCGACCTCGCTGCGACGGCGAGGTCCAACGGCGCCCATGGCGAGGCCGGCGCTCGACCTCGCCGCCCAGATCTGGCCGTCGTTGGACCTCTGCGGCAAGGTCAAGCGGCGGCCATGGCGAGGCCGCTCGACCTCGCCGCACAGATCTGCGGCGAGGTCCAGCGGCAGCCACGGGCGAGGCCGCTGGACCTTGCCCAGATCTGGGCGAATTAGCCACGTCACTTACCGGTAGAAAAGCTTTACCGAGACTGATTTGCGCACGTGCAGAGAGTTTTATCGAGAGAAATGAAAGAGGGAGAGGGAGGGAGAACAACGAAGAGGGATATGAGGAATTAGCAGGGAGAGAGAGAAATTAAGGCTATAAGTAGCGAGGGGGACAATTAGCGACGGATCTATTTTCCGTCGCAAATTAGCGACGAATTTATTTTTCGTTGCAAATTACGTCGCAAAATTAGCGACGAAAAAAATAAGTCGCTAACTCCGTCGCAAATTAGCAACGAATAATTTTTCGTTGCAAATTCTGTTGCAAATTAGCGACGGATTTTTTTTGTGGCAAATTCCGTCGCAAATTAGCTACGACATTTTTTCCGACCCAAATTAGCAACAGAAAAAAAATTCGTCGCTAATTCCGTCGCAAATTCGCCACAAATTTTTTTTCGTGGCAAATTCCGTCGCAAATTAGCAACGACATTTTTTTTCGTTGCAAATTAGCAACGGAAAAAAATTCGTCGCTAATTCTGTCGCAAATTAGCCGCGAATTTTTTTTCGTCGCTAATTCTGTCGCAAATTAGCCGCGAATTTTTTTTCGTGGCAAATTCCGTCGCAAATTAGCCATGGATTTTTTTCTGTCGCAAAATTCATCGCAAATTCCGTCGCAAATTAGCGACGAAAAATTATTCGTCGCTAATTTCCGTGGCTAAATCCTTGTTTTTTTGTAGTGCTGATTCTGTGACGGCGCTCGCGGTGGTCTTCACCACTTGTGGTGGTTGAAGACACGGCAGTGGCGGTTGAATATGGGGGAGGGGAGAGAGAGAATTGTTTTGGTAGTAGGGATTTTGGGAAGAGAATAATCTATTTTGGCGAGGACCAAAGCAAATTGGATGCACGCTCGAATCTGATGAAGGGACATCAAGTGGAAACATGCTTGGTGAGAGCTGATGCTTCATGTTGTTCTCTGTCTGGTAATCCTTCATGTCTCACTTGACTTTACTTGAGACCTGCCTTTAAGACAAATATGATCTAATTCTTGCCCAAAATTGAACCAAACAAAAGTGTCCTATATATTTTAGTTATTTTTAAAGATTATATGATGGATGTGATTAGTTCCGATACTTTACCCTTGTCGCCGCTCATTTCCAAATCTCGAACTTAGCTATAAGGAAACTGCAAACACGAATTTGACGTATACCTTAATCAAGTAAGGGATTGTTCCTAATATTTGAATAATATAAGATATATTCAAATTCGTGTTTCCGAAATAGAATTAAAATATATCGACCGTTAAAATCATTTATGATATGACGTGTGATAGACGTTACCATTCACATCATTTGAAATGACACTTTGAAAAATCGGTTTTTCGGATCAGATAATTACACTTCCGTCTTTGTCCTTTAGATAAAAAGCATGGGACATCATGTGACTAGTGATGTACTAAAATATTAATCGTGTCAACGAGTATATAGATTAGCAAAACCAATGTATATCAGAGAGAGAGAGAGAGAGAGTAAGCTGGATCTATTTTTTAAATATGCAAGTTTGTAAATGAAGGGTTGACTTAAACATAGAGATTCGGGAATATGCCCAGGAGATGCCGAAGCTCACATGCCTCTTCCCGGGGTCGGCATAGCTTAAATACAACCCCATCCATCCGCTTTTTCTCTGCATCCCAACCCGAGTTTGGCAACATTTCTATACAACTCTCTCTCTCTCTCTCTCTCTCTCTCTCTCTCTCTCTCTCTCTCTCTCTCTCTCTCTCTCTCTCTCTCTCTCTCTCTCCTCCCCTCCATTGTTGCTGCTAGAGACTGAGGTTCGTGTTCGTTGCTCTTTCATTGTCGCACTCGCTTGTAATGCGAGTTTTTACTTGCAGAAGACAGTAGGGCATAAGAAATTTGGCTTTTCCTGCCTTTGACAGTCGAAAAAACAGTCTTGCATGTTGCCATGTTTTGTTTACGTCGAATTTTAGTGGACTACCTCGTCTGAATAACGCTATGTAAAATATCTCTATTTGTTTCTCAAGATGATTGAATATCGCTTATAGTTAAAAAGTTCATATAAATATTTCTTGAATTGATGTTGTTTTAAGTGTTCTTATCAACTTCATCCTCGCTTGAAGATAAAATAAAGAATGATACGCCGTCTTTGGGAAGTGAGATACTCACCGAAGTAATGAGTTGACCGGTTGCCATCAAAGTTGCCCCCTCAAACCATAAATTGGCATAACTTTGACCTTCTTGAAAGAAGTACCACACACAGCCTTACGTTATATATTAAAAGTTTTGTTCTGTCCCCGCCAATAGAAATACGATTACCACGTTCGATAATGTGATGTTGGAATCTCGACATGTTCATGTACTTAAAAATCTAGAAAATCTAATGCAATTCCCGAAGCAAGAACTAGGGCATGTGGAAACAATTTTCTTTACCCCATATGTTTAGTCGAGGTCATTGGTGGTTCTCATCGTTTCTCTTTCTCCCTAGATAAAAGAAAAAAGAAGAGAATCATTCTAAATTTGAATGATCACTTGCCTATAGTTTAATTATCTCTTTCATGGGCAGGAAAATTGTTGAACTGGTTGGAGGGCATTGAACTCCAGCTTCGATCATGGCTAAAGATGATCTTGGAGTGCTAAATGCACTCGATGTGGCCAAGACACAATGGTACCATTTCACCGCCATCATCATTGCCGGCATGGGGTTCTTCACCGACGCGTACGATCTCTTTTGCATCTCCCTCGTCACAAAGCTCCTCGGCCGCATATACTACCATGTGGACGGTGCGGCAAAGCCCGGCACGCTCCCTCCGAACGTGTCTGCTGCTGTCAACGGCGTCGCCTTCTGTGGCACTCTTGCCGGTCAGCTCTTCTTCGGCTGGCTCGGCGACAAATTAGGTCGGAAGCATGTCTACGGTATAACCCTCCTTCTTATGTTCATCTGCTCCATCGCTTCTGGCTTGTCCTTTGGGCATTCCGCAAAAGGTGTCGTGGCGACCCTATGCTTCTTCCGGTTCTGGCTTGGGTTTGGGATCGGAGGGGATTACCCGCTCTCCGCCACCATCATGTCGGAGTACGCAAACAAGAAGACTCGCGGGGCGTTCATTGCCGCAGTGTTCGCGATGCAAGGGTTTGGGATTTTGGGGGGCGGGATCGTCGCTTTGATCATCTCCTCGGCATTCGAACATAAGTATAAGGCCCCAGCTTATCAAGTCGATCCGTTGGGCTCGACCGTTAAGCAAGCCGATTACGTGTGGCGTATCATTCTAATGCTCGGTTCACTCCCGGCGGCCCTCACTTATTATTGGAGAATGAAAATGCCCGAAACTGCTCGTTACACCGCCCTCGTCGCAAGAAACGCTGGGCAGGCAGCTGCAGACATGTCTAAGGTATAAACATAGATGAGTTCTTTCTCTGGCCATAAAACAAATCAATAGTTTATTGGAGAATTATAAGTATATCCAAGAATATAATCCAAGACTACTATGATGGACTTCACAATCCCGACTTTTCTTTTTTGAATGTTCTTATTAAGTAAGATCACTGAATTCTTTTTTAAGTTTCTTTTCCCTTTTTAGTGACTTGAGAAATTTGTGGTTTGTCCATCAAATTTGTTTGGTCTTGCCTTCTTGTCATCACTTCCTTAATTGAGTGGTTATTTCATGTAATTTCTCTGATATATAGTGAAACCGTCAACAGGTGTTGCACATGGATATTGAATCTGAACAAGAGAAGGTGGAGAAATTTTCCCAAGATCCCCGCAACAACTACGGCCTTTTCTCTAGGGAATTCGCCCGCCGCCACGGCCTCCACCTCGTCGGGACGACCACCACGTGGTTCTTCCTCGACATTGCTTTTTATAGCCAAAACCTCTTCCAAAAGGACATTTTCACCGCAATCGGGTGGATCCCACCGGCGCAGACCATGAATGCCATTCACGAGGTATACAAAATTGCTAGGGCACAAACCCTAATCGCTCTTTGCAGTACTGTACCCGGGTATTGGTTCACCGTTGCAACGATCGATTACCTCGGAAGGTTCTTCATCCAAATGATGGGTTTCACCATGATGACGATCTTCATGTTCGCCGTCGCCATCCCATACAACCACTGGACTCTGCCTCCGAACCGGATAGGGTTCGTCGTGTTGTACTCATTCACCTTCTTCTTCGCCAACTTCGGGCCAAACACAACAACATTCATTGTTCCTGCCGAGATCTTCCCGGCACGGTTGAGGTCCACATGCCACGGGATATCGGCGGCTTCAGGGAAAGCCGGAGCCATCGTCGGGGCTTTTGGGTTCTTATATGCGGCGCAGAGCAAGGATAGGACAAAAACCGATGCAGGTTATCCACCGGGTATCGGCGTAAAGAATGCATTGCTTATGCTCGGGGCGATTAATCTTGCGGGAATGTTGTTCACTTTGCTCGTGCCGGAGCCAAAGGGCAAGTCACTGGAAGAGCTTGGAGGAGAGAACATAGGTGAGGATGAGAAGGGCGAAGGTAGGGAGATGCAGCCTCCTTCATTGGGACCATTTGGTGGTTAGAGAATTCAACCCGAAAAAAAAGAAAGAACTTTGGTTGTAGGAGGAGAATTTTGTTGTTTGTTCTTGAGTTTACTTTATTTTGGTTTAATATTGCCGTAGATAAATTCCCTCCACATTGTGATTTCTCCTTGCATTGACCTTGTTTCATTGGGAGTGTATGTAATTCTCCATTTGCTTTGCTGATACTTGTTCTAATAATATTGATCAAAACGTGCATATCTGTAAAAGTCGGCTTTTCTAATGAAATAATTAATTTTCCCTTTTTTCCTTTCTTATTTTTGCCTTGCTACATCATGAATTATTTTTTATTCTGATTTTCTTTTAAAGTCCATTGCTTTGTTGATTAATGCTTTAATAATATTGATTAAGTCTGCTATTCTAATCAAATGATCAACTTAACTTTTTTCCCTATCTTATTCGTGCTTAGCTACGTTATGGATTATTTTTATTCATGCCCACCGATGCACGCTCTCTCTCTCTCTCTCCATCGCGAGCTCTGCCTCTAGATTTGGAAGCCTGACCTCCATGGCTGTCGAGCCTCTACATCTAGAGACACCGCTGAGCTCGATGGCGAGATCTTAGCGGCCAAGGAAGAGCCGTCAAGCTCAACGACGACGGGATGGAGGGAGGGAGGGAGAGAAGCATGGCTGAGCGAAAGATTGTGCGCATTAGGTAGTTATACTAATCAATATGAACATTTTCAAAGATCACACCTAGCTTGTGCATGTTATATTTTTCATGTACTGTACACATAAAATATATTTTTAATAAGCCTATTCATGCAAAGTGTATGAGATGGGACCTAATTACTTCTGTTATAGATTAGATCCAATTTCCGTACATATATCACAATTGTGGGGAAGGTATTGAAGCGATATGACATCGATTCATTAGCTCAATATGGGGAAAATTTGTTCGACATCCACGTGATGATCGTTCAAAAAGTTAAGAGACTGACATGTGTAGTATTACTAATTTTAGGATTTCTATTGTAGTCCTAATTTCTTTTTAGGTAAGCAAGATGAGCCGAGAGAGAGCTTTTAATTAGGGGTTCAAAACCTAAACAATGCACGGCATACTTTTTATGTCGAGAGCATGTCTAAATTGGCAAGGGTTTTATTTGTCAATAGGCAGCTAGTTAACTCACTTTATCATCGAAGAAAAATCAAGATAGATTCTTTCTTAAGACGATGGGTGTTGCCGAAGCAAGCGATCGAACAGTAAAATATACAGAACAAGAAAAAAAATCAAGTACCAGATTTTCGTGGTTCAGTTGGATGACCTACGTCCGCGGAGAAAGCGACAAAGAATTCCACTATAGATCTAGCGATATAATGAAGATTATAATCATACTCAAACACTCTCAGTATTTCCTAACCCCAATTATCCCTAATAACTCACACAGTGTTTAGCCACACAATTCTTCATGAAATAAACTCTCAATCTCATGAAAGAATTAATAAATCTTAACACAAGATTTTCATGGCTTCAAAACTAGGGATGTAATTTACAAGCAGAAGCCCCCTCTTGGATGCTCTTCATAGCGAAGACACTTCTTATATATGCACAAGAATTTGATCTAAAATGGGAAACCTTCTCCAACTAGGAATAGGAAATCTACTTGAATTAAGAAAGTTTCTCCTTCATATTCAAACTCAAAATATATTTTCAACAATCTCCACTTTGACTCGACGTTTGAGTTAAGTTACAATTGCTTCGCTAGAATCTAAACTTCGGTACTACTCTCCCACAGCCCCCAATGGGTTCAACCGCCACAGACATCTTCCAAGTCCAAACCTCACTTGTGCACGTTATATTTTTCATGGACTGTACACATAAAATATATTTTTAATAGGCCTATTCATGCAAAGTGTACGAGATAGGACCTAATTACATCTGTTGTAGATTAGATCCAATTTTCGTACATATATCACAATTTGGGGGGAAGATATTGAAGTGAAATAACATCGATTCATTCGCTCAATATGGGGAAGTTTCTTTGACCTCCTCATAATGATCGTTCAAAAAGTTACGAGACTGACGTGTGTATAGATCGTACTATTAATTTTAGGATTTCTATTGTAGTGTTCTTTTCTTTTCTTTTTTAGTTTAGGGAAGCAAGACAGGCCGAGAGAGAGCTTTCTAGTAGGGCTTCAATAACCTAAACAATACACGAAGTACTTTAAATGTCGAGAGCATGTCTAAATTGGCAAGGGTTTTCTTTGTCAAGGTAACTCACTTTATCATCAAAGAAAGTCAAGATAGATTCTCTCCTAAGACGATGCGAGTGGTCATAAATCACTGAGCTGTATACTTCAAATTCCAATGGCTGGACCATTGTTTCGCCCCTAAAAACATCACCTACAATCACCATGTCATCCTTCGATAGATTTCCAAGATTCCATCTAGCTTTAAGTTGCCTGGACCAAAGAGTTATGGACAAATTTGTGTGCTTTCTCAGCTTTGTAAGTTACCACGACTCTCTCTCTCTCTCTCTCTCTCTCTCTCTCTCTCTCTCTCTCTCTCTCTCTCTCTCTCTCTCTCTCTCTCTCTCTCTCTCTCAAACATGATAATGGAATCTTAACAGCCCATGATCGTGAAGGTTGATTTATCATATCTCCAAATCTTTGTTCTCTTATGAATTTGTCTTCGCAAGCGTGCACTGGGTTATTTCATGATGCATACATTTTGATAGCATCTATATATATGCCCGTACTCTCAGCGTCCGAGTTTCTGCACGAGGTCAACGAAACTTGTTTTTTGTGCTTCTAGATTGGGGACCATTGCTTCCTGTGGTTTGTAACTTATCTTGCTTCTAGTTGACTCTTTAAAGAAAATGAGACTTTTTTTTGGGTATAATCAAAGAATTCTTAGTTGAATATATGCACAATTGAAATAAACGCACATTGAGTTTTCGAAATGTGAAATTATGAACTCTAATGTGAAAATTTGAGGTGACTTGGGAAAACGATGGCCTTTTCTTTCTGCGATTTTAAGTTTAGTTTACTTTATTTGTCATAATTTGGAAATTATCACTGAGTGATGGTTGGCACCAATACGTAACTTCAAATCATTAGCTCAATTGCCCTTGTCACGCAGAAATTTTACCGCTAAAAGTGGTGTACAAGTAGCATACCAAAAAAAACGATAAAAGAGAAAATCGATATATATATAATTACAGATTTTTGTATCAAGCCACCATGACAAAGAAAAGAAGCTTGAATATGTGCAGTGAAAGAAGTCTATCGAAGACGATTGTTTTTCGGCCGCTAGTGGAGTTGGAAATATTCCATGTATGAAAAGTCAAACGAGGACAGTAAAGTTTGTTGAATTCGTGCCCAAAAAGCGACAGGAATATTAACATTTTGGTACGACTTCGCAATCCAAATGTCATTTCCAATTGCTTATTAAGTAGATGAGAAATCTTATTAAAACTGTTTTACGTGATGTGACGATTTTCTATGGAAAACTTTAAAATGCCAATAATTCAACGAATCACGAGCTAATTCAAAAAAAAATACCATCTTTACTTTGAGTGGCAATTCTGATCCGAACTTTTTTTTGTCCAAAAAAAGTATCAATTTTTATTAGAATCCCAAATCTGGCCCCCGTGATGCAAAATTTTCAAACTGTTCCGGTCAAATTTGAAATTTAAATGAAGGTTGGTGATTTTTTATGACATAAAAAAAAATTCAGACCCAAATTGTCATTCAAGATAAAGTTGATGCTTTTTTTGGAACTAGGCCAACCACTTATTTCAATACCTAATTAAAAGTTGCCGCATCGCTTATTAAGTAAACTCTAGTAAGAACTCTCAAACAGTGTTGTTATCCATATTTTAACATTTTATTTCTTGGTAATTTACGACGTTGTATAAAAGCTTACTACTTTTCATAGTAATCTAGTATAAAACATCTTTAGTATTTGAACAATATACTTGTTAATATTATAGGATACTTTACTAAGGATTACGATGTTTCAAAGAGATCCACGAAAAATATTGTAAATATTCAAATATCCTAATTTTCCACTGTTTACGATTTTTTACCAAGATTCGTGATGTTTTGTCATAACCTAGTCCAACAAGTCATAAATGCTCAACTTTTTACTATTCTACAATGTTTTACTAAGGTGTACGACATTTCTTTGTAACCTAGAGCAACACATTATTAATATTTATGTATCCATGCTCTTTATGTACGACGTTTTCTAAAAGCTTACAACGTGTTGTTGTAACGTAGTTCAAGTATCGTAAATATATTAATATTCCAATTTTTTTATATTTATGATGCTTCACAAAGGCTTACGATGGTTATTATGACCCAACCGTAAATATTTTAATAATCTAATTTTTATTGCTTTACAATATCTTACGAAGGCTTAAGACATTTTGTAACCTAGTGCAAAACATCGTAAATGTGTACATGTCCTAATTTTGGATAACTTACAACGTTTTCCAAAGGCTTACGATGTTTCATCGTTAAGATGTTCAAAATATCGTAAATATTTGAATATATAAAATCTGATACTTTTTTCACAAAGGATTACTAGATTTCATGGTAACCCAATGCATAGCATTGTAAATGTCTAAATAAAGTGACCCTTAGAATAATGCTCAGGATGTTCCGTCGTAACTAGAGCAAAACGTCGTTTAAATAGGCTAACTTCTGATTATTTACGATGTATTCCAAGTGTTTGTAAAGCTTCGTTGTAACCCCAATCTTTTAATATTTTATTATGTAATTTTCAATATTTTCCGATATTTTTCAGATGCTTACAACGTTTTCACGTATGCAAAACGTTGTGAATATTTAAACGTCCTAATTATTTTTATAGTTTTCCAATAGACTTACAACGTTTAGTTGTAAAGTCTTCCAAACATTGTAAATATTTTATTGTTTACGATCTTAATATTTTACGAGCTTAAGACCTTTCATCGCAACCTATTAAAAACGCTGTAAATACTTAAATATACTATTTTTTTATCCATGTATGACGCT